GCCCGCGCCCGCCGCCGCCCGCGGAGCTCGCGCGGGAGAAGAGGGAGGAGAAACTTTGCCTTTTATTGTTGTTGTAGTCCTTAAGTGCCAGGAACTCTGTTGGGAGGAAAAATGTCCTTCTTCAATTTCCGTAAGATCTTCAAGTTGGGGAGCGAGAAGAAGAAGAAGCAGTACGAACATGTGAAGAGGGACCTGAACCCTGAGGAGTTTTGGGAAATTATAGGAGAATTGGGCGACGGAGCCTTTGGGAAAGTGTACAAGGTAAGGGAGAAATTCCCCCTCTCCCCGCCCCTTGTCCCTTTCCTGTCTCTTGCCCATCCTTTGACTTCGGAAACGTACTTCGGAACTTTATCCAGGCTGTCATCCAAGGAGCAGCCGAGACACTGGGGTTTAAGGTTGAACTTTAAAGAGTGATTGCTAAAAGGAGGTGGGGTTATTCTACAGGCGGCGCTGTCAAACTTTAAAGGAAGTGGGGGGAGCTCTAATTTAAGGCAGGGATCAGGTTGTGGCCTTCAAAGCATTTCAAATCCATACTTATTATAGGAACTCATTATACTTTTCCGTGGCTTTATATTTGTCCACTAGTGTATGATTGCACTAAACCAGTCTCTTTTTTAGAGTCAGGGCATACGCTTGGTTGTGTCCATTGGGAATACATAACCTATGTCTTTGGGGCAAGAGCACAGTGATTGCTACTCGCACACTGTTCCTGAATTGGTTGCTTCACAACGAACTATAAAATGGAGTGGAATTTCTGATAGAAAATTTCCAGAAGAAAACCTGCCTTTAGTACTAGTTGCAGAGGAAGCATTGACTAGAAGTCAATACCAGTGCTTAAGAAATCAAAAACAACACACTTTATTTGTTTGTTTATTTATTTATGTTTCAGTAGAAAGAGTCTTGATGTTTCAACCTGAAGGCATTAGTGTGTTAGCTGTTTACTACCCCATCAGGGTATATGTATGATGTCATTAGAATATTTTCATCCTGAAGGGTGAGGTTTTTATGAGACACAGGTTTGGGGGAGAGATCCACGTGAAAACAAAGAACTGATGTTGATACAGGTCTTTGTGGTTTTTAAAGCACTTTCACATAATTTGGCCCATGCAAGTCTGGTGAGGTAGACAGGTCGGTGGTATCTACGTTTCACAGATGAGGACACCAGAGTCAGAAATTGTTCAAAGTCACACAAGTCAGGTTTAGTCCGTCTCACAGTTTAGATTTGGACTCAGGTTTTCTGACCCCGTATGTACTGTTGTTTTTTACTTGCATGTCCATTGGTAAAAATGATAGAATTTCCCCCTCCTTTCTAAGCACCAGCACACCTCTGCCTTTGCTCTGCCTCAGATGCATCTCACAGCCAGCCCCTTGCCTTGCTCATTCTTTACTCAGGCTGAAACATACACTCTCTGTGTGCTTTCAGAACACATTCTTCACAAGGCGACCATGGCACTGTTACATGTTATCGTTAACATGTTTATATTTTTATGATAAAACCAGAGGCCAAAATTATGATAAACATTTGGGTTCATCAGTTGCCTTAGCACATAGTGTCTCTCTCTGTATTTGTTGAAATGAAAGAATGTATGTTACTTCATGTGAGTGCTATTGAAGCTATTGTATGCTGTGAAAGTTGGCAAAGTAAATTTCAGAGCTTGTGTGGAGGATAGAGAATGGGTTCCAAAGGGAGTTTACAGTTTAGATGTATGTAGGAAGAAGGGCTTTTAGTGCGGTGGGAAGATCACTCTGGGGAATTGTGCTTTAGTGTTGGCTGTCACAAACCAGGTCTGGGGTCTTGGACAGAACACTTAACTTCTCTGGACCTCCATTTTCTTAGCTGGAGAATCATAGATTTCCCCAAACGTTTGTTGTGATTTCTTCACCTAGCAGAATTCTGAGTATGCAGTTACCTGGGCAAGGCAAAAATAAGTTACTCAAGGCACCTGGAATCCGGTGGTTAGTAGGTGGTAGGTGATTATAGGCAGTTTTCATGGTATACGTGTTTTATTGAATAGAACATTGTCGTGTTAAAACACTGGCCCTGGAGTTGTACTATATCTTGGCTCCCTCAATAGCAGCCTGTGAGTTTGGACAAATTACTTAATCATTTCATGTCTCACTTTTCCTGATCAGTAAGACCTGCTCTTAAATGTGTGAAAATTAAAGGAGATAGTAAATATAAGGCACATAAAAAGGGCTCAGTAAATGGTAGAAATTACTGTTATTATATTTAGAATTCAGAAGCAAACTATAGGATGGGACAGGAAAAGGGACCTATGAAAATAGCGAACCATTTTCTTATTTTCCCATGGCACAGAATGATTGTGTGGACATGCTAATGCTCTGGGATTTAATTATTTAATGACTCTTTCTGCAAAGTGTAACATATTTTTCTGTAGTGAGATATCAATTGAAAAATTTCTGAAAAATAAGAGACTCCATATAGTTGAAACACTATAAAATTGTCAAGGATAATTTTTATGGGCTTCATGACTATTTCAGTGTGATATTTGAAGAGCTTGAATCCTTTGTATCTTTTCATTTTACTGGTCTATGCTTCCAAGGCTCTGAGATATTTTTTCTTTTAAATTTTTTATTGAAAGTATTATATATGTCTCCCTCCTCCCCCATTGTCCTCTCCCAGCCAAATATTTCTTTAAAAGAAAATTTAAACTTATTTGACCCGTTTTTTCTCTTTTTCCTGAAAGTTTCTGTTTTCCAAGATATGCTAGAAATTTTAAATTTATAAACTTCCTTCTGTGTGGGGGAAAAAGCTATTAAACCTTAGTATTGTATGAAGTAGAAAACTAGTTCTAAAATTGATTGTAACCATCATTTACTTATGGAAATTAGTAACTGTTATAAAGATTAAATTATAAACAGGCAATCATCGTGAGTACTTAGTTTATTTGAAACATTTTTCCATCATGTACTTGTATTCTTTCTACTCAGTTCACTACACAAATCTGTCTTTCCTATTTTTAATCTATTTTCTATTTTTTAAGTCTCTGACTTAATCTATTTTCAATGTATTATTTGACATATAAATGAAAACATATATATATCTCTTAAACTTTTTACTTTATTTATTTATTATTTTTAATCCTTACCCGAGGATATTTTTCCATTGATTTTTAGAGAGAGTGGACGAGAGAGGGAAAGACTGAGAATTATCTATGTGAGAGAAAACACATTGATTGGTTGCCTCCTGCATTAGCCCTAACCAGGACCCTGGTTGGGGAGGAGCCTGCAACCAAGGTATATGCCCTTGACTGGAATTGGACCCAAGACCCTTTGGTCCGCAGGCCCATGCTCTATTCACTGAGCCAAACGGACTAAGGCTTATTTTTTATTATTTATTTACTAGAGGCCCGTTGCACGAAATTCGTGCACTTGGGGTGGAGGTAGAGGTCCCTCACCCCGGCCTGCACCCTCTCGCAGTCTGGGAGCCCATGGGGGATGTCTGACTGCCAGCTTAGGAGTGGTCCTAAGCTTGCAGTTGGACATTCTTAGTACTGCCACAGAAGCAGGAGAGGCTTCTGCCACCGCCACTGCGCTTACCAGCAGTGAGCCTGGCTTAGGGCTTCTGGCTGAGAGGCGCTACCCCTGTGGGTCAGTGCACGTCATAGTGACCGGTTGTTCAGCCATTTGGTTGATTTGCATATTAGTCTTTTATTATATAGGATTATTTTTTAAAATTTAAATTCCATTGTGTAGATGTACCACAGTTTTTTAATCCACTCATCTGCTGATGGGCACTTAGGCTGTTTCCAAATCTTAGCTATGGTAAATCCACTTAATTTTTTGAGGAAACTGCCTACTGTTTTCCACAGTGGCTGCACCAGTCTGCATTCCCACAAGCAGTGCAAGAGGGTTCCTTTTTATCCACATCCTTGCTGGCACTTGTTTGTTGATTTGTTGATGATAGCCATTCTGACAGATGTGTGATGGTACCTCGTTGTTTTGATTTGCATGTCTTGGATTATTAGTGACTTTGAGCATGTTTTCATATGTCTCTCAGCCTTCTATATGTCCTCTTTCGAAAAGTGTCTATTTAGGTTCTTTGCCCATTTTTGATTGATTATCTTCCTTTTGTTAAGTTGTATGAATTCCCTATAAATGTTGGAGATTAAACCCTAATCAGATATAACATTGGCAAATATGTTCTCCCATGCAGTGGGCTCTCTTGTTGTTTTGTTGGTGGTTTCTTTTGCTGTGCAGAAGCTTTTGATTTTGATGTAGTCCCATTTGTTTATTTTCTCCTTAGTTTCCATTGTCTAGGGCTTATTTTTTTTAATGTTTGGATTTCTGTTGTTGTTAATGGGAAAAAAAGGAGTAACATAAAATTATGTGTTGAATTGAAACTGACCTCCTGACTGTATACTGGATGAAAGTGATTTTTTTTTATGACACTGATGGGTGTACACCTTTAAAAATATAGGTAATTTGGCATACAATTACCTAGAGCTGTAACTGTATTGAAAAGTATAAAAACACATGTACATTTATTAAATAATTATAATATGATAATATTAATCATCAGAGTCAAGGAATTCTGCCAGCACCCCAGAATTCCTCCCACCTTTCTTCTGAATTGACCTCTCTCCCTAAAGGAAAGAACTATCCTGCTTTTAAGTTATTCATTTCTTTGCTTTTCTTTATAGCTTACTAACGAGGTATGTAACCCTAAATATTATAATTTAGTTTTTTAAAGAATATATATTTTTATTGATTTTAGAGTGGAAGGGAGAGAGGGAGGGAAATAGAAACATCAATGATGAGAGAGAATCATTGATTGGCTGCCTCCTGCACGCCCCCTACTGGGGATGGAACCTGACTGGAAATTGAACCTTGACCTCCTGGGTCATAGGTGGATACTCAACCATTGAGCCATGCCAGCTGGGCTATAATTTGAACTTTATATGAATGGAATCATATTGAGTGTCTTGCCTCTTTCAAAATCAGCATTATATTTGTGAGGTACACCTTTGTTATCACCTAGAGCTGTAATTACTTCATTATTGCATAGAATTCCATTATATGGTTACTCTTAATGGTAAAGAATGGGTGTATCAGTTGTTTCCAGTTTTTGGCTTATATACACAATGCTGATGCATATATGCATGAGTTTCACTAAGACAACTCAGGAGTAGTATTGCTGGGTTATAGGGTAGTGCATCTTTAATTTTACTAGATGATGCCAGCGTGTACCAAGTTACACTCTTACCAGCAGCATATGAGAATTTCCTTGCTCTGCATCC